TGGAGGGTGGCCAGGAGGGCTGGCCGAGCGCCCTGCCGGAGCCGCATTATTTCTCTCACACTGAAAAGAAGCTGAGGATGGTAAATGCCACTTTGGCAATAGCGAGCTAACTCTATTTCATGATAATTTATTTTTGGAGATAACACGGACATTATAAAAGAGCAACCAACTAATAAATAACTAAACAAAAAGCTGGCTAATAATGACAGCAGAAAGCAGCCCCTTCTAAAATACGGCAAAACAAGGGAGATGAATAACTTTTTGAGGGCTGTTCGCAAGGAAAGAGTTGTGTGAGATATGGCGAAGTTGAGCGCATTTTTTTTATTGACTACTGTAATTTTGTGAATAATCCACTTCCACCTCCCTATGGATGTTTTTTACTAAATGCTGGTAAATTGAAACTGGAGCTAAGAGGAGGATAAAAATCCATTTCCAGCCCTGCCCAGCAGTTCTTGCAGAGCTGCTGTTTAATGATATTTTAAAAAAAAGCAAAACACACACTCTTGAGGTTTGAATAAACCTCTGGAGCCCTCCAAACGCACCAGTACTTGGGCTGGTACCTGCTCACACTGCGTACCCCTGCCCTGACCCAACATCTCCGTTACAAGGCGTCTGCTCCACAGCACCACTCCTGGGTAAACCTCTTTGCAAGATGCACTGAGAGCTACCCTCACCAGATTCCCCGTATTTGCCTAATATGAAGAAAAGGGAGAAAAAAATAACCCAAACCTAACAACAAATAATGCAGATTTTGAAAGAAAAATATTGCTTTATCTGTGTCCATCTTGTTTCTCATCTTGCTTGGGAGGAGGGGAAGAAAAGCTTCGTATGGGCATTTTTGTTATCCAACGAGCTGAGTGATGATTTGGGGATCCAAGAGGCAGGCTGCTGGCTGTAGTGCCCCGCTGCAGCTTTCCCTCTGCCTCCCGGCTCTGTGGTTATTCTATGTTTGGTCTGAGAGGCTGAATCGGACGAGAAAAAAGAGACTCGATCATCTACAGCAGGCATTTAACACTTTAATCACTTTAAAAGCCCTTGGAATAATATTTAACGTTTCATCCTGAAGCCAGCGTCAGAATAAAATGCACTGCGGTGTTTAGTATGTGCCAGGCATGCAAGTGCAGATAAATACTTAAATCTGCTGAAATTAGAGGGAAATTCAATTGGACCTTCACATTCCTATGCTCATTTGTGAGCTAGGGAAAAAAATCTTAAGTGGGAAAATTTCATTTTGCTTCACCATAATGAAGTGGAAGTTTTTACCACCACGGTAGGAGCTAGCAATGTAATGCTACCTCGACTCTCTACCTTATAGATCAGGTCAGAGAAAATAGCATTTTATCTTATAATGAGGATACAACATCGAGCGTTCACCACCACATTTTAGTATTCCCATCAACTAGATATTCTAGATCATAAGGGCAGCTCGTGTAATCATAATGTCAATGAGAAGGGCTGTTACAACTGAGACTAAAGATTACAGGGAAAAAGCTGCTTTGAAACTGGTAATTATTACCAGTCCACTAATAGCAAATGATGCATTACAGTTTCACCATATAATCTGTATTTCACTCAGCTCCTGCCAGTACGGCCTTATTATATTACAGCATTCAAAAATTCTAAATTCCTAAACTACAGTCATCAATAAATGTGTTACTTGCCATAATTTGCAAAATTACTTTGTTCATAACATCTTCGACTGTTGTAAAGACTGGAATTGATTTCCTGCATCACAAAATTAGGGCTACATTGATTTAGTGGAGTGTAAAATGTAATATTATTCTTCATTTGCTTGCCTGAAAAACAAGTTTTCAATTCACCATCCGCATTTGGTAATCAAGATAATAATTTAAATTTAGACTCATGTTTATGTACAAAACTTCCCTAAACAACCCACCATTTTCAAGGGAGCAATGTAAAACCAGGCAATAAAATAGAGCAGGGAAACAGTTAAAATCCACCAGCCATTTGCCTCCACCTCCTGCTTTGAAGAGACAAGATTTCTAATTTGTCTATTAGTGCTTGATTAATTATGAAGGCTATTGACTGACCATATCACCACCTAGAGATATGTTCTAGTCTGATGCAGCCGTGCCAAACTGCAAGAATTATGGCACTAATCCACGCGCTGCCCGCCAGCAGCGAGACGGCTCCTTAGACTGCCATGGCAAACCCTGGTTTTGGAAAGGACTGTCCTTTCCTTCCTCCTGTCCCACCCTCCTTCAGCCCCATGAAAAGTCTTTAGGGCAAAGCACAAAATCCCAGTGAAAACCATTCAAACCAACTTGGAAGACAGGAAGAGCACCCACTGCTTGCCACCGCAGTTGGTTCCCACAGCTAACCACACTCACAGATGTGGACTGGGGTTCACCTGAATTCCTCTGGCTCCAACCTCTACCCATTCTCTTCTTGAGTTTTTCTTTGGCTGACACACTAAAAATTCCCTTATTATCCAATGTGCCCCTCCACACACACCAAGGGTATTTGTGCACTGTGAAATCAAGGCACACTTCAAAATACAGTTCTTTTTCCATCTTGAAGCAACCTCTCCATCCCCCTCCACTACTCAAGGACCAGCCTAGCCCTTCTCAGCCCAGCTCTGTGCTGGGAAGGGGCTGGTTTTCTGCTAAGACTCCCACAGAGCCACTGCCTTCTGGAGTACCGCACCCCGGATCTGTGTGCATGGCCATGATTCCCCTCTTCTAGCCAGACACCACGGCAGGTTGTACCCAACCATGCTCCCAGCACTGCTCGGCAGTCTTTCCAAACCACCCCATAAACCTGTCCCTGCTGTTCTTCACCTGTCCACCCCCCTTTGCTTCTTCCACAATGCTAACTAGTTGCAATTGCATATTCATTTCTAAATCATCAGTGAAATGCAAACCACCACCGTGGCTCCCACAAGCCCCTGCTGCTCCCATCCACCAACACTTCTCCAGCTATTCCCAAATCTGTTGGCCAGCTCTTAATCGCCCGTGCTCGCAATACCTCCCAGTGCTCCGTCTTCCTATACACAGTGTCATGCAGCACTGCATCCAATGCCTTGTAGGGTCTATTTCATCTCCATTTATCAACCAAAATTGTCATCTAGAAGAATGAAATCAGGTTTATTTGACAAGATCTATATTCCATAAATCTAAGTTGAGTGGCATGAATTATATTTCTATCCTTTAATTCTTTATCAATTGAATCTTGTATCGGCTCTTCAATTATTTTGCCCAGCAGAGATAAGCAAAGTGTTGCCAACTATGCTACGGTTACCCAGACCAGCTCTTCACCGCATTTTCCCAGTCCATAAGCTTTATTAAAAACCAGTACCACATGCCAAGTCTTTAGGGACTCTTGGGTGCAAGTTGTCAGGGCCTTTTCATTTAAAAATATTTCTCTCCATTGGACCTTGTATAAAATCCTTCTTGGCTACTAATGAGCGAGAAAAAATGTCATCACCCACCTATGATACAGAAACCTAACATTACCGCTTTCCAGGTCTAGAGTAAAAACATCTATTAAAAATTTCTACCTTGCTGCATCTTCCATCCTCTTTTCTCCAGGACCCCAAGAAGCTCTCCTCTTCTCCCCATCCATGCCAGGCACAAGTTTTCCTCAGCACCTTCAGATCCCCACACCAGTTCTCTACCCATCATGGTTTCTCACTGTGATTGATTGCTATCCTTTTTCCATTTTTTAAAATTGTTATATATTGATTTTTTTTTAATATCTAATTGCTGTTCTCACCTCACCACTGAAGCGGGTGAAGTGGGTTTTGGATTTGGGCCAAAGTTGCCCTCTCTTTCCTGGACAGCCAATCAACTCTTTACAAATAGCTTCCAATTACCATTCACATTTTTGCATGTACAGTTTTCCTCCCAGTCAATTTTACTGCTCATTTTCTTTGCATCTGGGAAATTACCCTTTTAGGAGAATTACATGGGGATACCAGGTACCAAAACCAAATGTTGGACCAATATGAAACCTGACTGATCTCACCCAGTGAAGTCTCACCCACCATTACATATTTATTCCTTTTCTATGTTCCTGTCAGCAAAGGACTGGTGACAGGGCACGGCATTTCACTACAGCACAAATGTTTAGTGTTTCTGAAGTTATTGGCTCCTGACAAAAAAAAAAAAGGCAGCAGAACAGCTCTTGCCTGCCATGCCCCCAGAAGAAGTGCTTTAACCAGTGACACACGAGTGACAGATTTAGCTTCTGATCCGAAAATGTTAACAAATGAGTGGGATGGATATTGGCATCTGAGTGCCTTTAAGGGCAGTTGACACAATTACACAGTAAAATATGAA